TCCTCTTTCACCCTCATTAAGAGGTTCTTTAATTCCTCCTCACTTTCTGCCATCACAGTGGTATCATCTGCATATCAGAGGCTGTTGATATTTCTTCCAGAGATCTTAATTTCAGTTTGGGATTCCTCCAGTCTGGCCTTTTGCATGATGTATTCTACATATAAGTTAAATAAGCTAGGGGACAATATACAGCATTGTTGTACTCCTTTCCCCCTTTTGAATCAATCAGTTCTTCCGTATCCATTTCTAACTGTTGCTTCCTGTCCTACGTATAAAATTGCAATCCCAATGGGGTCACTCAGTGCAAGTTTTTTTTAAATCCTAGTGCATAAGGGTTAAATCTGCATAATATCTAAATAAAAATTTGTAAGTAAATATGCATTTTAGCACAGTTTCTCAAAGATACATATGTATAAATATATTTTAGCGTCCCACGTATAAAACTCCAATCCCAATGGGATCACTCAGTGCAAGTTTTTTTTAATCCTAGTGCATGAGGGTTAAATCTGCACAATAGCTAAATAAAAAATTGTATGTAAATATGCATTTTAGCATAGTTTCTCAAAAGATACATATGTATAAATATATTTTAGCTAATTGCATACATTTTTGCCTTAAAATAAACATTTTAAAATGTGTTCTGCTAAAAGTTTTAGTGAAGAACTGCCTCTTTACCAATTTGAAGTACTATAAAATCTGAAGGAAAACTATGTCATCATACATCTGTAAATCCAAAAGATGTTGATAGCTCTCCAGTAACGTGTTTTAACCATCCTTTGAGATATGCAACTGGAATTATCAGGAGAAGATTCAACTGGGAATTTGGCTTCACTTCCAACCCCTACAGGGCCAGTTTAATCAGGTAAGTAAGCTTGGCATCTTTGCCTGTGCTTCAGGAGGAGGCGGTTTAGCAAAGTGTCAGTCCTGCAACAGAGTTAGTCCAAGGCGTAGCACTGCCAGAGGCAAAGGAGAAACTGGTCCCTTCCATTCCACCCACAGAGGTTAACTATTAGGGCGGTGGATGGGACCGTGTCCTCCTCTAGTGCACCTGAAGCCAGGAGGCGGCTTAGGGGGTGGAGGAGGAAATGTATGAGGCGTGCCGCTCTCCCCGTGTTGCCTTACAGCATCGGCCGCCTGAGGCAGCTCCTTCCCCTCCACACACTCCAGGGTCCCCCCAGGGCGTAGGCCAGCTTGCAAAGGGGGAAAGATACCGGACATGAGGATGAGGAAAGAGATCCCTCGTCATTTAATATGTACGCCATTCAGCGCCTCTTTCCACTGTGCGGTCCGCGAGGGAGAGGCGAACTCTTCCAAAGCTGGCGACTGCGACAACAACAACAACAACAAACAAGGACCCTTGGGATTTGCACTGAACACACACGATTAAGGTCAGGCTAACTCGCCTCTCTACCGACGGCGTTGCACACGGCGGGCGGTGCAGTCGTCGCGCTGAACTGATCCACCCCAGGAAGGACAAGGGCGGCGTCGTTTGGTATCCAGAACGAACTAACCCGTTTAGTTAATGACTTCAAAAGAAAGGGACCTCCAGCAACTCGACAGGGGAAGTATGGGGAGGAGGGAAGGTGGTGGGGAGGCAGATGTACCCCCGTCCACCCGCCTTGTCCTGCAAGGAGTGTGTGAGCACTTCAGCGAACCCCCCCTGTCAGGAAGAGAGGGAGTTTGGGTTCCCGTAGGTACCATGTATTCCGCCGCCCCCCCCCGGGAAATATCTGCGATAGACGAGGTGGGGTGGACTGGGGGGTCAAGGGAACAGACGTCAGCTACTACAATAACCGAGTTCTCCTCCGGCTGCAGAAAAGGAGTCCGACGCTCCTCCTTTCCCCCAGAGGCGCCCCCCCCTTTCGCCCCTTACTCACTTGAAACGCGGCCAATAAACGCAGGTTTCCCCTCCGGCCACCCCACCGACACGCAGCAGCGTCAGCAAAATGGAGCTGTTGCCCGGGCAGGGCGAGGCGAGGCGAGCAAAGCCCTGCCCCTCCCCTCCCCTCCCCTCCCCGGGGCCCGGAGGCCGGGGATGCTTTCGCTCCGCCCGCCTTTTTTGGGACTAGGAGGAAATGGACGCGGGAGGAAGAGGAGGGAAGGGCCAGCCCCGCGTTGCGTTCCCGGGGGCTCCACCTGCTATCCCAAATGGAGGCTAATAATCACGTCATCCTGCGGGTCTAACATGTATGCACTCGGGGGGGGGGGTCGTTAGTAATGAGTTCAGCCTTGGAAGGGCTCCCCTGTAAAGTCAAGTTTGCCAAGCGAGTTTCAAACACGGCGAAAACCACAGACACGGTTCCTGCTTCTCAAAAGAGGCACTACCGGTCCTCCTCATGCGGAAGGGAAACCACTCTGAATGTCGTTGGTCTCGCTTCCGACGTGCAGGATGGGCCGAGAGGTCTTTGGGAAAGCACACCTAGTAACCGTGGATGATTAGAAAACCCTTTTAGTATGTACTGTTATAAAGTTGCTGTGCCATCATTTTGTTGCCAGAGCTGTAGGAAGGGCAAAGGAAAAAAATCCCAAATGCCGTAGGAATGTAGTGAACAGAACCGTGCTGGTACCTCACTTGAGGGGAGCACTCACACATCCTAAAACCAGCAGTTTAGTACTGAACACTCGGTCACTACTAGCTCAAACTGGAAAGAACTTAACTGAAAAATCTTGGACTGGAAGTGACACAGGCTATGAAATCTGTCTCCAACTAACAGAAACTCATTCATCCACATTCACACATTGAGCTACTACTTAATATTAAGTAATCAGTTAATGAAAATGTATGTGTATACTTGTCCCAAGAAGCTTCAGGCAGGGTCTTGCTGAGTGGAAGAGGATGTTATTATAATCCAGAAGACCCTTGATGCAATCAGGCATCACCAAACGGCTTAGAAAAATGTCTCTGACATCACACATCCTCTGCCAAGCTATGGGGACACTGCTGAGGTCAATGGACCAATTATTGTACTAACTGAAGGCAGCTTCATCTATGCTAAACACATTGAGCTATAAGCACAAACTCATATTGGGAGTTCTTCTCTTGGCTCCCGATTCCTGGCCTAAAGGATCAGGGAACATACACTGGGGACATCTTGAATCATGGTCCCTAAACAGGTGATTACAATGGCTCAGATTATAGATCATGGTCCCTAGAGAAACAGGTGATTACAATGGCTCAGATTATATTCTGTTACTGAAGCCTGATACGCCAACTATAACTGCTCCTGGATAGAGGCATACTTGCAGCATGCTCTGATAACTTCCTTTTTTGATGCAATAAATTGTATGTGAAGGTGCCTTTAAAAGCAGTTTGTTAGGATCAGCTAGCCCAAAAGAGTTTAATTTGTAGTCTGGCTTTATGGGACCCATCATCAAATGCTGAAGGCGATATAAACCAGTAATTGCTCCAAATTAAATAAAGATGTGTACCATATGCTTTATGGAACTTTTGCTGAACAGAGTTAATTTTGCTGTTGACCATTACTTCAAGCAGTTCAGAATTATTAGTTGTTGCTATCATATCAGTGGAAGGCAATTGTTGGGTAAGTGTCTTAATCCTGATATATACATCAGTTTAGAAGTGATACACACAACTAACAGTAGGAGACTGATGGTGTTATACATAGCCATTTATTATTGGGCCTCTGATGCAGCTGAAAGTCCCTTATGGGCTCTGGTCTGATCTGATATGCAGTAGCAAATTTGCAAACTTGTTGGGGTGCTTCTTTGCCTCCACTGTTTATATATTTGTCAACAAGAAAATTACCATCAAACACCTTCAGTGCATGCTTATTGTCTCTCCAATGCATGCTTATTCTAGAGGAAACCAAATTTACACATTGTTCTCGTTTAAATATTCCACTGCCCATGGAAGTAGGAAACATGTAATGTGTAAAATAGCCTTGCTCATCACTAGAACACCAGATCAAAGTACAGGAGAGGTTGGAATGCATTACTAAAGCCAAGCCCAAATAAATTTTGCTGAAAGCAAAACACACACATCTCACCTAACTCAGAAATCTTAATATGAAAAATATTAGTGAAGCTACAATATGGGTCAATTTTGTAAGATAAAATTAACAATCAACCATCAATTGTGCCTTTTTGTCTTGCCACACCTCCTTTCAGAAGAGGTTGAGATTCATTTTCTCCTCCATGTTTTTGTTGAAAAACTGAAATTTTAATTTGTAATACAGTCAGAACACACTAAGGCACACTGAGCACAAATCTAGATTCATGGTGCAATCCTCTAAAAGCTGATCACCAGGTTTCACTATTCAACTGAAAGCTCACAGTGGCTTGAGAACAGGTATTAGTTCTATTGAGTGCTAGCTAAAGAGACGAGAGTCCAAGCAAGCTTTTAATATTAACAGGCTAGGCAGTTGGTAGTTCTTTGATTCACTGTCATATACACTTGCAAACAGCCTCACAAACAAGGTATCCCTTTATCTCTTTGTTTTCTCTAAAGAAACAGAGAGCCTTGTTACAGAGATGTGAACTTTTATCAGCCTAAAACAAAGAGCTCCAAATATTCTTTGAAACCATCTGAGGATTCTGAAGGCTCAATAGCTCTATTCAGGTATTCTGCACAGAGTTCCCAATCATGCAGAGCATGGTTAACCACTTTCAGCCAGACATGGTAACCATTTCCCTTTGGACTTTTCAAAACAGGGAGGTCAATGGTGGAGCTTTTAAAAGCTTGAAGGCTACTATGTTGTTCCCAACTTTGAGTCTCCTGATGTTCTAGTACTATAACTCCCAAAAATTGTATCCAGCACAGCTAGAGGTAAATGTTTCTGGGAGTTTTAGTCCAAGGATATCTGGGGAGCCAAGGTTGGGAACCATTGCATTAAGACTATTACTATGAATCAGCAGCCACAGATTAAACTCTCAGTAACCCAGTAACAGAACATCCAAGGATAGCTCCCTATTTGGCAGAGGTGGAGGGGATGCTGAGTGATGTGCTCCATTTTTGAGAAACTTCTCTTGGGAGTGGTTCCTGGTGAGCTTGCACAGCTGTGGAGTCACTCTAAGCAGCACTTAGTGGTTGGGTTGTCACCCTTTTAACTTCACAGAATACCTTGCAGTGATCCCCATTTTAAAAAACTGTGGAATATTAAAAAGGTAGCTGCCAAAATCCAGCCAACAGACACCACCTGCATTACTGGGCTAACAACAACAATAATCCAGGGCAAGACTCAGTTATTGGGGAGATCCAACAGTGGTAGATAACTTGCACATCTGTAGGCAGTTCTGCTAACAGTGATGATAGAATTTGTGAGCTATCCAAACCCAGGCAGCAGTGTAGCAAGGTACCGGAATCTAGTCTGTGACAGAACTGTGCCCATAAAAAAAAAATTAAGCCCAATGACAGCACTGTAACTGGGCCAGAAGTGTTGCCCTGCTACCACCTTGCAGGTGGGGGAGAGTCCCCCCCAAAAGCTAAGGGAAGGAAATTCCAGGAGTGCCCTCCAACACATCCTATGCTATGAATCAGGTTTTATCTTTATATTCAGTTGTTGGAAGGTGAGTCAAGGTGGACATTACTTCTATACCTCAGACAAAAGATTTTGGTTCTCATGAAAAAGGGAGCAAATTATTTTAGTTTGTCCTTTCTTTTAAAGCTAGAGACGGGAAGAAGTGCTACAGCGATTCTAAACCTTGTACCAAAATAATGTGGCTGACTGAGAGTGGGAGGGTGTGGTGCCATCTGCTGCTTCACTTCAGGCAACTACATGTCTTGGGCCAGTCCAGTCAACTGTAGTTTCAATCCAACCATGGCTTTTTGCTTAGAGTCTGACACAAACTAACCCACCACAGAAACAACTTCTAGACAGCTTAAAAACCAGAACAGTTATTTGCAAGTTAGGAAATTTCGACCAAAACAAAAATTGCATGGCTATATAAAAATGGGACCCCTTTTCTGCATTTCTGTTCAACATATATGGTTTGTATTTTCATCTGTATTTTCAAACATATTTTCAGGATGCAGTATTGGAATAAGCCACTGGGAGGAATATTTCTCTGTATTTTTGTCAAATATAAAGACACATAGATAATAAGTTGATAATTACCAATTCAATGCATTAGCTGTACATAGAAAGCAGCTGTAATGATAATAGTTTCTTGGCACTCAAAGGTGGGAAGTAATGGATTGAATTAGTTTTTTAATGGAACATTCCAACATCTGTAAAGCATTGACCCAGAATTTTGGTCCACGAGGCAATTAATTGGTTTTTTAGTGGAACATTCCAACATCTGTAAAGCACTGACCCAGAATTTTGGTCCACGAGGCAATTGTACATGTGACATATTAGCTATGCATCCCCAGCCCTGCTGGCTTTCAGTCTACAACACTTTGTCAACTGATGTGCTTTTATATCCAATTTCAACCTTAAAGGTTCACTGCCAACGCATTAAACAGTCCTCCTGAATGGATCAAGTTGGATCCCGTTCTTGTTCTGACCATGCCCCACTGCTGCCTGATTCCACAAAGGCTGAATGCTATACATCCCGTTCTTGTTCTGACCATGCCCCATTGCTGCCTGCATGGAATCTTATCAATGTGCCTGATTCCACAAAGGCTGAATGCTATAGTGAGATCTCAATCAGCAGCTGCTATGCTGTAGGAAAAGCAACAAATGGCACATACTTTACGGACTTAACATTTTGTCACTGCTAACTGGTCTCTTTTTCCTGTGGCATTCCAAAGTCCAATCATACTTCTGTAGCACTGAAAGTATATTGGACATTTAGTAGCATGGATTGAAACAGGAAAAGCAACGAATGCCACATACTTCTTTACAGCCTTAACATTTTGTCACTGCACACTGGTCTCTTTTTCCTGTGGCCTTCCAAAGTCCAATCATAGTTCTGTAGCACTGAAAGAATATTGGACATTTAGTAGCATGGATTGAAAGAAAATAGAGTATTGCAGGTAGCGTATTACAGAACTTCTCCTGATACATAAATCGTAAATTTTTTTAAAAGATGGTATTTTACTTATTTAGTTTATTAACATGCAAGCATCCTTAAAATAAACATATGGTTGTGCTAGTGGTATGTGAATGTGACTGAACAGTCTGATAGTTACTAGATTGATCTTTACTAGTATGGTCTTCAAGTCTGTGAGTCCATTTCAAGGCCAGATTTCTTTATGCTGGGAAAGGATGAGAAGGCTTTCCAGTCCAGCAACACCACTGGGATTACATAGTCACCACTCTACTTGCTTGATGCTGTCACAAGTTGATTACAAATGCATTAGAGGTTTATGATTTTTTCATTGAGTGCAATCTGCGACTGGGTGAGATTTGCCAAGTAAGTCACCATCAGCAGGTCCTGAGAAGAAAGGGGCATGCATAAGATAACATACCACATAACTACATTTAATAAGTAAAACTTAATTAGCAGTATAATCAATTTATAAATAGGTCCACTAGGTGCAAAAATTTAAAAATGTCAAGCTGTAGTGTACTGAACAACTACCTACACATCTTGGCTCTCTATATTTATACCATACCAAGAGGATGTAATATAGCCCAAGAAGTGCCTTAATAATTCCGAACTTCATTTTCTTCAGTTTTCTATTTTACACTGGAGTTCTACCTTACAGAATATGTACATCCCAAGCAGTGAAATGAATGTTCAGTAATTTTGCATTCCCTAGACTGCAATCTGCAACATCCTTAAATGGAACAATCTGAGACTGCTCTCTGTAGTACACAGGCATTTCTTGGGGGCAAGATCTGCCTGTAGTTCAATGAATGCATCCTTAAATGGAACAATCTGAGACTGTCAATGAGGCTGCTCTCTGTAGTACACAGGCATTTCCTGGGGCAAGATCTGCCTGTAGTTCAATGAATGACACAGATGTCTTTGCAGCTGTTACTGCTAAGATTCTCTTTAGACTCCACTCATAAAGGGAGTGCTCTGGCTCTCTGAGCACTGCTAAATGACACTACAGCATCTAGTGATAGAGCTGATGAGACAGTCGAGATAGTTCAGCATCATCCTCTTTGTGGATGGCCAGGGAGGATCCCAGCTGCAGCCACCATCTATAAAATTGGGGGAAGGGGTGGTGTGGAGGTGAAGAATAAGGGTGATGTGTTTGTTTCCTAGCTCCCCACCACTACCAGCCTTGGCTCGTTCCACCCCATTGCCAGCCCTGTTCAGTAACACAAGCCTGAGGACTTACATTGATGTTGCTGTTCAGCATTGTCTCAAAGTCCTCTGGTGAGATCTTTGGAACTTGGTTAATGAGGTCCATCAGGAAGCGACCAACAGTATTGTCAGCAGTCACTTTACCAGACTAGAAAAAAAAGACAGGCAGTGATCATACTTAACATTTATAATGAAAGAAAGGCAATTAAATGATTTTTTTCCAGGAAAACTATAATACCAACGCACTCACCAGCACATCTTCTGCATATTGAAGCACTGTGTTCAGGGTGTCCTGAATCCGAACAGAAGCTGCTCCCACTTGTTGAAGGTCACTGGACAAACTAATCACTCTATTCGGACTGAAGCATGTTTTCTTGACGAGATCAACTGAGAGCACAAAATAAGGATGTTGGAACAGAGCTATGGTTACCAGTCACTTAAAATAAACATTATAAAGAACCAAGAAGAGCTCAGAACATTGCTTCTAATGTACTTTCCTGTGTTTTACAATCTTGTAAACTGGTATCAGTGGTGGAATATCTTGAAAGGCAATTGCCAAATACAGATATAAGCACTGAAACTAGAAGAATGATGGGTCTTCATTGCTCATAGTCAGTTTTACATTACAATCTCCCCTCCCTCCTCAATATGGTCAGTTTTACATTACAGTCTCTCCTCCCTACTCTTTGATGCCACTGTGTTATATATTGCCAATTGTTCTAATTACAGAAATTCATGTAGCAATTTGTTTGGTTTTTTTAAACCAAAGTCAAAGACAAATTCTACGATGATCTGGCAGCTACTATCAAAAAATCCCTGACAGAGAGCCACTGTTCATTCTTGGAGACTTTAACGCTAGTGTTGGTGCTGATCACAATTCTTGGCCTACTTGTCTAGGCCATTTTGGCATTGGGAAGATGAACGAAAATGGCCAACGCTTGCTGGAGTTTTGCTGTTATTATGGTCTCTGTGTCAGCAACATGTTCTTTAATTCGAAGCTTCAACAGTTTCCCAGAGACATCCAAGATCGAAGCATTGGCATCAGCTCAATTTGATCCTCACTAGATGCTCTAGCCTTCCTAGTATTATGATCACAGGTAGTTACCAGAGTGCTGATTGCTATACTAATCACTCCCCGGTGGGTAGTAGAGTAAAACTGCAAACAAAAAGACTGTATCACACGAAAAGGGAAGGAAGACCATGTATTGACATCAGCAAGACTCATGATCAAAGAAAAGGGAAGGAATTTGCCAAAGTGCTTGAAGAAACTCTTCCAGGCCCGGCTGATGCAAATGCACCTGAATGATGGGAACATTTCAAGAACGCTGTTTATAACATCGCCCTGTCCAGATTTGGCAAGAAGTCCAAAAAGATGGCAGACTGGTTTGGAGCCCATTTGGAGGAGCTGATGCCAGCCATCGAGGATAAGAGGAGAGCTCTAGCAGAATACAAAGCCTGTCCTGGTGAGTACAACTTGCAGGCTCTTCGACTTGCTCATAGCAAAGTCCAACAGACTGCCAGGAGAAGTTCCAACGATTATTGGCTTCAGCTCTGCTCTCAGATACAGATAGCAGCAGACATAGGTAACATCAAGGGAATGTATGATGGTATCAAGTAGGCTTTAGATCCAATACAGAAGAAATCTGCTCCCTTGAAGTCTGCTACAGGTGTGATCATCCAGGACCGAGCACAGCAGATGGAACGCTGGGTGCAGCACTACTCTGAGCTACTCTACTTCCAGAGAGAATGTAGTAACTGAAGAGGCACTAAATAACATCAAGTGCCTGCCTATCTTGGAAGAGTTGGGACAATGAACCAACTTTAGCAGAAATAAAAGTGGCCTTGGATTCCCTCGCCTCCGGCAAGGCACCTGGGAAGGATAACATCCCTGCTGAAGTGCTGTAAAGAGATCATCACCACCAAGCTGTATGAAATCTTTTGTCTTTGCAGGAGGGAAGGTGGAGCGCTACAGGACATGAAGGATGCAAACATCGTCACATTGTATAAGAACAAAGGAGACGGGGTGACTGCAATAACTACTGTGGCATCTCTCTTCTTAACATTGTAGGGAAGCTGCTTGCCCGTGTTGTGCT